TCCTATTTTCTTTCATCTCTTATCAGCTATTTATTTCCTTACTTTTTCCTGACTTCTTTCTAAGGGCCTTTTCTTTACAGAAAAGTAAAAAAATCGCTCTTAAGTAGAATCTTTTCATCCTTTAAAATCTTACTTGTAAAATTTGTTAAATTAAATGCCTTTATTACACCTGATAAGATGAAGGATGAATTATCTTTATCTTCAACCTATCAGTAATTCATTTATGATAAGTTTAGATTGGATAAGGGAAACATAATATAATGATATATTGTGATGATTTTGTTACAAAAGAGGTATGATCAGTTTTTAACATACTTTTTTTGTTCGATTGTTACCTATCTAACTTGTAGGCGTGTCATATCACACGAAATGATTAACTCCCAGAACTACCAGACGTTTCAAAATTTGTCTCACTCAAGCAAATTTTGGAAAAAAATGGAATAGCTGCAATATACTTCAGTGGTTTATTGTATAACAATTCCCTTACCTTTGTATCATTTGTATCTTACCTTGTCTCCGTTTCAGATCGTTTACCATACTTGCTCATTTTTAGTTTACCTACTTTTTCGCATGTTGTGATGCGTACGTCAAGTGCGTAAGTACGCCCGAAACTAGTTATTTGCTCTTCCTTTCTCTCTCCCTCTCTCTCTCTCTCTCTTCCGTATTCACTTATTATCATTACACCATTTTTTAGTTCTCAATTTTTAAATGGTCATAAATGTAAAACGGTGTTCTTTGATAACATAATGTTGAAACCGACATTTCAAAATAACTCTCTTTCTCAATTCATTTATGGAATTATTCGAAATTTACCTTACTTCCAAAATTAATCGTTCACTACCTTTTGTTTGCTTTTCTTTTTGTTATTCTGAAATAATATTATTAAAATTTTTTTGAATAAATGACTGAAGAAGAACGGGTACATGAAACAGCCGAAGAAGTCTCGAAAGGCACGCAACTAACGACCCAAGATAAAACTTCGAATGATCAAGTGGAAGAGCAAATACAAGTTGATCGTAAACGACTCGAATCAATGATCACGGGTTTGTCTGAAATTTCGCATTTTTAATTTCAAAATATAAACAAAAAAGATTAAATATCCTCATGATTTAAAAATGAAATTTTGCGATAAAATAAGTTTTGTTTTATTTCCTGAAAATTTCCAGATAATCAATATTATTTTCCTCATTAATGCAGGACATCTTTTGATGATGAATATCGAATATTTTATAAGCGTTACTATCAATGGGTTTGAAGGTTAATTAACTTGAAATTATGCATTTCAGGTGAACCTCTATACGGGTCTGAGAAATTTCTGCCATCAGCGGAAGAATTCTTTCAGAAAGTAAGTTTTGCAACATTTATACTAAATTATCTTGTATTAAAAAAATTTTCCTAATTTAATCAATGTTTTAAATATGCTTAGATTAAGTTGTTGCATTTATATGCTTTTTTCCAGGTTACTGAGCTCTCCGGTGCTGTTATCTCGTGGCCAAGTCGTTTGAAGATTGGAGCAAAGACAAAAAAAGGTAGTAAATTTTTCCAAATTTTAAAATATATTCAATTTATTGGGAAGGCAGATGAAAATAGAAAAAGATGAATCGCTCATTCTTAATCACTCATTAGGTTTTTCTCAAATTACAATTTGCAAAATATGAATAAGTAAAAATGATAATTTCCAGATCCTTACGTCAAAATGTTTGGTACAACTGAGCAAGTCAACTGTGCCCGTCAACTGATTGCGTCTACACTCAGAATAAAGGTTATCCAATTTTATTTATCACAATTTTCTTCACATTTAATTTTCTTTCTCTTCATTGATCTTTTTCTTCGCGCTGATTTGACAAAGCATTAAAAATTCAAATTATTCATTTCTCCATCACTCATTATTTTCCGTTTTACGTAAAAGATATTTTACAGCGCGACAAAATATCATTGAGAATCGAAATACCGCATTGTGATCATTCGAAAATAATAGGACGAAAGGGTAAAAATACTCAAGATATTATGCGTGATACGATGTGCCACATTCATTTTCCGGATTCAAACAGAATTCATGATGTGGAAAAGAACAATCAGGTATTATAATTATTGAAATTATATGTTTGAAATAAATTTTTGCTAAAATTAAAAAAAAAGCCTTCCCTAAATTCATTGCAAATATTATTCACAAAAGATAAACAAAGCACACTTGATAATTGAACATTTAACCAAATATCCTTTAATCTAATCTATTCTAAGCCTTGTGATCAGTAAATTTTTATTTCCATGGTCCTTTGTTTTGAGCTTCTAAATTACTTTAGTTAGATATTTATCAGTGATTTCCATATTATATTAACTTTTTTTTAAAAAAGCAAAGTGTTAAGATTGTTTTAAAAGTGTGCAGAAGCTATCATTATTCATTTTGTTTTTTTTTCTTTCCTGGTTAAATTGTATTATAATTAATAAACAATTGAACGCAATTTTAATCAGGTATCAGTATCTGGAACAGTTCGGCAAGTAGAAAAAGCCAGACAACGATTGCGAGTAAGTTATCATTTTACTCGAAATAATTTTTAAATGACTTTCAGAAACTATTCATTACTTAATGAACTTTGTTCCTCTGAATAGATTTCATTCATGAGATGTATAATTTCATTCGTTAAATTATTTAGCCCAGTTCATTTGTCAACCATCTTATCAATAATTATTCCTTCTAATTTAATTTATCATATTGATTATTGTTACAGATTGCGGCTATTATTATTGTTATTATTGATGCAATAAATATATTAATTTTTTTTTAATCTTTCTTCATTTCAGAAATTATCACCATTATGTATAGTATGCGAATTACCGAATACATGCCGTTATTCTTTCCAAGAATTGCAAAGAAACATTGGGCATCCGGATATTTTTGTTAGTTTACGTGAAGAACGAAATGGCAAGATGAAATGTATTTTGAAAGGAATTGAACAAAACGAAGTGGAAATGGTTAAGGCAGTTATGATTCTTGCCAATATGTATCAATTACAGGTTCATTTTAATCTTTTTTTTCTTATTTATATTTTCTCTCTAAAGCCTTTATTCACAGGTATTCGTATTATTTCTTATTGTAAGCTAAGACTCAGCTCATTAAAACTCTTTTATTTATTAATGTATATTTATTTAATTTATTAATTTTTATTTCATGATTTCAACTTAAATTGTTGAAACTTATCTTACAGAATAAATAAGCAAACTTGATATGCTGATAATGAAAGAAAAAAGAGGAAATTGTTGTAGAATGATTATGGTTTACTTTGTCATACAGTTATTAATGCACATAATTGTCTTGAAACGTTATTACGTGATGAAACTAAAAAAGAGGAAATGCAATGGTTAGCTCAGCAAACGTTAACCCATATTATTCAATCGAATACTGTTGAAAATGGTTTTGAATTATTTATTGTGGGTCCAATTGCTGGTGTTTTGATTGCACGAAAATATATCATTGTAAGTTTTGTTGGAATTTTTTTAAATTACTAAAGCATGAATAAATGTTGAAGCGGTTTATCTTCTGCATTCTTACTAACGTGCATTCGCTATACTATTAAAAATATTCTTAGGGTTTGTTACCTGTAGCAGTACAGTTTGATCGAATATTGGAATCCGACTATGATTTGATTGACAAAGCTTTGATTGAAACAAAATTCGGCATTACTATCAGTGAGAAATGGCGAAAAAGTCGAGCTGTTAGTAATGCCACGGCAAGTTTAGCTAAATTGTCCTTATTTGAACAAAATGAAAGTTCGAAAATTTTATTAAAATATGACATCAATCTTCAATATTCACTATGTATAATTCACGATAATTTTTTTTAATAGGTTAAACTTACAAGTTTAAACGTACTTCAATTCTGAACCATTGAAACATTGACAAACATTTGATAAAAAGTGCCAATTGAGTATGAGATATCTTCGTTTCACATTTTGATACTTTTTGATGATATATGGGATATATGTGACTGAAAAATTATTCATTATGAAGTTCAGGATATTAAAGTGAGTAAACAGGAATATGCTTTTACAAATAAAAATATTTCTTCAGCTCGTAGTTCTAAGTAGCAGCGAAATGAATATATGCATGCTATATCAAGCGCGTGAACGAATATTAAATTTGGTTCAAAATAGTTTAAACACTGCGCCGGATATATTCGAATTCTTCAAAAATGGTCATATATCAGTACTCATTGAAAATATGCGCATTGAAGCGCAAAACTTATTAAGTATGTTTTTAGACAATCAGAACTTTTCTTGGTAAAAATGTTGAGATCAGTTTTCACAGTCAAACCAAACAAAGTAGTTATTCCTAAATTAATCCATTTTATCTGTCCTCCATTTTCTTTCGCACTCGTTCCTTAGCTTTAATTTTGATCATATATGATATATTCAAAATTTCACTTCGTGTTAATTTTAAAGCAGGTACCAACATAGAAACTTTATACATTGCGACACAAAGTTCACTACAGAAGCCGACATTTGCTAACTTCAAGGGTCAATGCCGCTTGGCTGAAGCATTAGTTGATGTGCCAACAACAGACGTTGTATGTTTAAAATTTCTGTCTTTTATTTGAATTCGTAAGTAAACGTGAAAGCTGTTTTCTTTGATGGCTTCAACAAATTCACTTCGAGCTTCATTTTTTCATATTTATATAACTGCTATTGAAACAATAGTTTACGAGATTTTGTAAAAAGTTAATATAGAATAATATATCGGAGTTTCTTCAAAGCCTTTATTATGTTAAAATATAACTACAGAATCGATATGCTCAAATAACTCCGAATCCAAACGACTCTCCGATCGCTCACTCCTTACTTGCTGGAATCAAGCAAATTGATATGTTTAGGAAGTAAGTCCTTTTCAAGAAGTTTGTCTACTGCTGTATCCAATGTGCAGTTATGTCAGTTTTAAGACCATATAATAAATGATCGTGTAGTTAAGTGATACTAATATTTTGGAGTGAAAAATCCTTGTATAAAAACAAAAATATTAATGAAGTGCTTTTTGCAGTGAAAATCAGCGATTTCCAACAAGAGAACAACTGCTGCTCAAGGCAAATCGTGGTTTGTTTTATTCCAAAATTCTACTTAGTCTTTAACATTTACTGTTCGAAAAGGTCTATATATGTAGCGTTAGGTCCTACAACATTAGTGGTATGTAAGAGTCTTCAAGACTTTGCAGTAATACTTAAACATAAATAATATCAATAATCTATATGTTCCGGTCAATATATTTAGCAGTGTACAGCGGTACTCCAGCAAAAGTGCGACAGCCTACTGATCTTTGGGCTGGATACGGTTTTAGCAATTCATTGCCAGCAGATATTTTGAGAAGCAGTTTGAACTTTTTTGATAGTACCCCAAATCAGTATGATGGCCGAGCAAATACACAACAGGAAACAAATCTAATGGAAAGTGCGGTATGTAACACTCTAAATAAAGCTCATTCTGTAAATGAAATCGCTTGATTCTAACAGTGACGAAAAATGATCACAATAATAGAATATTTCGATCACTTTAATAGATTGGTTATATACAAGCCTCCTCAAACAAGCACATGTCATCACTTCCATCATTTCTTGGATAATTGGATAATTAACTGCTACGACATTTACTGTCATTTATTATCTATGCTAGCAGAGCTTCTTATTGAAAACGCTTGTACTTAATTGTCCAAAAGAGAGCTTATAGTACCAGTCGTTTAATGTTCCGTTTATTTGTTCTATCATCTAAGCTAATTAATGATTGATGGTGGTTTTGAGGATTCATATGTTTAAATTAGGTCCTATAAAAAAAAAAACTATAATACTGATTGGTAATGTTGCATCTATTACCGTCTAAAAAAGCTATGCTAATAGTAATTATTTTGCAAATTTTCCATAAATTCAAAGTATTGTTTCTTTTAGGTTCATCGTTCGATAACGCCTTCAGTAGGCCTAGCATCTGTATTAGAAGAAGATGAACATGGTGACGACGCTCAAGATAGCTCGAATTCGAATTCATTAATTGGATCTTTATCATCTCATAACTTGCACCTCTTTCAATTGAATCAATTACAAGGACCTATTAGTAGTGTTGGAACCAGTAGAGATTTTAATCATTTTTAACTTGTTTTATTTTCGTAGATTTTTTTCGAGTTCAACTATAACCTTTCTCTTTCTCTCTCTACCTATTTCACCTCAGTCAAAAATGATCAAAATCATTTTCATAATCTTTTATTCTTATATTGTGTGATCAAACTCAAGGAAAAAATTTATAGATACCAAATCATCTTCTATGCATAGAAAGCACGCAGCTTTATAGTTAAACTTTAGTTTTCTTCCAAATTTCCTAATGATTTCCTACTGAAGTTATGTTTTTAGACTTTTCCGCGTCAACCGGAGTATTTGAATCATCACCGTTGATAGGAAGCGACTTTGTTTGGGACATCCGCTTTTTTGTGGATCCAGCAATGGTACTTGCACAACTGGGCTGTAGCGAATATCTTGCACAATTTAGAGATCAAGAAGTATAAAACAATTAATAAAGATTTACGACTGACTTCTTTTAGGGTTAACCTAAAATACTTAATGTCTAAATGATATGGATTGTAGCAAGCAGTTGATTACTTTTTCTTTTCAATAATCACAACTTACAGATCGATATGGAAGCTTTCCTATTATTGGACGAACAGAATCTTAAAGATATTGGTGTTTCAACAATGGGTGCTCGAAAAAAGATTTACAATGCTATTCTGAGTAAGTTATTTTAAAAAAGAAAATTTTCCATTTAAACGATACTTTATATGAACTATTTCTACACTTTTATGTCATTTTTTTTTTTCACAAAAAAATGGACGTATAAAACATTAAACGTCCTATGTTATATCAAAATTGGCAAATATTATCTGATGAAATGATGAATCTGATTTCATGCTGTCTTATATACGTGAGAATGTTCTTTTTTTATTAATAATGTGTAATAGTCCTGATTTCATAGATACAACAGCTGAAAGAAAAGGCCAGTGTTTGCAAAGTGAAATTGACATATTTTGTAATTTTAATACAGTTTCGTGTATATAGTTGAAATATAATTTCGTTATAATTTAAGGATTGCGTGGTTCAGCACGAATGTATGGAATGCAAATTTAAAAACAATTCAACATTTTGAGAATATCCGACACGATTAATGATGATAAAATTTTCATCGTTTTTACCAAAGATGCATCTTTTATTTATCTCTTTTTTGACTTTCCGTTCTACTAACATTGTATTAACAAAAATTTACATAAATTAATTTTAAAAAACAAGTTCCATTAAATTTTTATGAAATTATTTGCTTTTAATCACTTTTTTAATTTTTTTATGCATGATTTTATTTCAGATCATTTGATTGCAAAGAAAAAGAAACATAAAGCACAATATTACTGAAATTACCCTATTTTACAACCAGAAATGCTTTCACCGCTTTTTCATCTTCCTTCTTTTCTCATATTTCAATTTTACGTGTGTAAATCCATTTCACAATTACAATATTTTGCTCAAATATCGACTACAGATTCATTTGTTCGTTTGAAAGTTCAGCACTTTCGTAGCTTAACATGAGATTTGGATGCTTCCACAAAATGAGTTATTTAGAAGAAACAGCTAAAAATTTAGTTAATTCATGATCCATTTACTACCTCAAACTTCCATTACATCAAACATTTCATTGCTATCAAATGCTGCTCTTTTTTAGAATAAAGCTCTTTTTTTAATAAATAAATAATGAAACTAACCCTTTTCAGTGTTTCATTTACTTCCCTGATTTTTTCATTTCTTGAAATTAATTAGTTTTTACTTGACCAATTGTTGCACATTATAAAGAGTATTTCTAATTGTCACCATCTATTATTAAGAATTTATTACATTGTCACTAAACCAGATATTGTTAAAGACGGAACATAGTACGGATGATTTATGATTTAAGCCTAAATTAATTATTTAGGGATTAAAATATCCTCATATCTAAAATGGTTAATATCTATTTATTTTTTGTAGATATTGTATTGTCCTGATTTCTCAGGCATCTTCCTTTTGTATTCTGTATTTAAATTCAAAATTTCTACAAATTCTTTCCTTTTATTAATTTTAAAATGTGTAAAAAAATCTTTTTTCTGATGCTTTGCATTATTGTATATTATTATTTCTGTGAATATTTCTTTATTCTTTCATATCACTTTTTTTGATTGCTGCTATTAATTATATATAGATAGTGTTTGCGAAAAGCGCAAATGATCTCTTTCACATTTCTCCTATCTCTTTTATCTAAAACGTTCTTTCTGCTACAAAATTTACATGCATTTTGAAGAAACAATATGAATGCAGGCTTCGAAATTGAAACAGTCTATTACATCCCCATTTTATCAATATATTATAAAAAGTTTTGGGATAGTTTTTTTTTTTTTTCAAGTGATTATGTTATCATGCTACTTTAGGCAAACTGATATTCAGAAAGAAAATTTAACCGAGGCATTAAATTGAAGGTAAAATTGTACAGGTACATGAAATTTGCTTAATGACGTTATGCTATCATGAAAATTAACTGATATTTACACCGGTGTGCCATGTTATCTGATGTTATGTTACTGGGCGTTATTGATAAATTGTTGTTACCATTTCATGAATGGTTGTTACAGTTTCATAGGCAATTGCACCTTCTCAAGTTCTTATCAGTGCAATGACATCACAAAGCTTATCAGAGATGATGTTGGGATATTTCTACGAATGCTGTTCACATTTTTATGGTGCTAAATTTTCTTCTAAATCTTTAAGACTACCAAATTTTCTGGCAAATTTCTTTTTTTTTTAAAGTAATAAATCTTAACAATCAATTTTATTCCATTAAATTAGATGAAATTAAAAAATTTAATAAAATTTTTCCTCTCTAAAGTGCTTTCCAGAATTTAAATATCCCAACCAAGACTTCATTCTGGATCATTTTTGGAGCGTGAAATATTCATGACACACGATCATAAATGCAAGAAAAACTTTCACATCTAACAAACGTATCATAATCTGTTTTTAAAACAGTTATTTTGAGGTGTTTTGCTCATTAACATAAATCTGATTTTGTATCAATTTTTTTTTTTTTGATTAACTAAATCAGTCGTCAATGCTCAGCAATGGGTATTCAATTTTAAATACTCAAAGACAGAATTCTGAATTGCTATCGATCCTTCAATTTCCTTCGGATTTCTTCGTTATCCCACAATTTTTTTTTAAATCTTTCGTCAGGTGTAGTAAATATTCCACTGTTTCAAAGTATCAACTTTTCGTACAATCAAAAGTTTTAACAGTGTTTTGGATGAATTTCAGAGAAAAATAGAAATAAATAATTATCCATCGTAAAAGAAAGTATAAAATGATGAATTAATGCAATGAGTAGAATACCGACTAGAAATACTATCTCTAACAGACGAAAACTCGTAAAGATCAATAGATCGAATTCGTCGAACACTAATCAACTAAACAAAAAAATAAATAAAAACTTGTTGAAATTGCCAATTCTTGTTTGCTGAAAAATAATATAGTTTGAGATGTTTTAAAGAGCTGTATAATTCTTTTCTACTTCCTATAACAGTAACAACTAAAGCATTTAATTTTAAAAAAAATCCTTAAAATACGAAAATACATGAAATTATATGAGTCAGTTTTGAAAACATTATCGATTAAATTATTTTATTTTAATCATTAGACATTTTGAAATCTGATCAATATGTTTTGCAAAATTTTTATTATATACTCTTATCGGTCACTAATTATGACGGATTTGATCCATCAAATTTCATCAATAACGCAACGATCAAAACAGCAGTAATGACAACAATTCCGTTCCAGCAAAGGATATCGCAATGATATGTTGTATTTGTGATACTTTTCCTTTCTTATATTTTTACATTGATCAAATTATGAAGTATTGCAGAAAATTTTTTTTCACCTAATCCAAAATTTGACATTTATTCCATTTCAAATGAATTTAATCTATAAAATTAATGTTAAAGCAAAAATATCGTAAATGCTTTTTACACTCAAATTTAGTTTAATCATTTAATTGTTTTTTTTAAATGATAATATTACTTCTAATTTATTTCGCATAGTTGATTGAATTTTAAATGATTTACATCTTTTATAACATAACAATAATGATGCGCAAATATTATCAAAATGATCGCTGAAACAAAAACCAAAATTTAATAGCAAAAACATTAACAGAGATAAAATTGTTTTGGAGTTTGATTTAAATTTAATTGTTTGGTGCTTTTTACGGCGATAACAAAGCTTGTTTTTCGTTGAAAAGAATTCATCAATAGGATATTCTAAACAAAAAAGGAATCATTAAGAAAGATAATGGAAGTCTTAAATGACTTATAAACTCCTCTCTTCGCTTATTTCATTATTTTATCATTGGTTATGCTTTGCTAAATTGTATTTTCCTTCAGCATTATCAAAAACTTTCAGTATATTCAATGATAATGCATTTTTCATCAATGCAACACTGCAAAATGACAGGTACTGAGCAGTGTCAATTCAATAGTGTTAACTGTTTTAAGTATTTTTAATTTATTCCTTCATTAATTAGGCTATTGATAACAAATTACAATTGATTATGCTGTAATTATAATACATTTTTATCATCTATTTGTTAAGAAATTGACGAAACTGGGCGCAAATTAACAGTGGCATTGATTGACTAAATCACTTTCAAGGCCATCGCAACAAATTCCTTCATTTTAAAAGATCAAACATTATATCTGTTACGAAAATTTATATCCATGTATTAAAGATGTCATTATTTAAATGTACATTTATTGCTCTCATTGAAAGAAAAAAACAGCATTTTTAGTTTAGGAAGAACTTACCAAGTATTTATTCGATCAATCAGTTTGATGTATTTTTTTTTTATGTTTAATAGTAATATACTAAATATAATCCTATAGGAATATTCCAAATAATGCTTTATATATTGTATGTTATTGAATTAATTTTGATGTGATAATTCATTTGCTAATTAAGACTATTAATAATTGCTACATGCGTATTTTTATTATTTAAAAAAAACTATATTGAACGATTAAACTTGAAATGCAATGTTATAACTGATGTATGAGAAAGAGCCAGCCGGATAATGATATATTTATCTACAACCTGTTCGGACGGATACACATAGAGCAACAATAATTTGTGCATTTGTACAATGTGTACCTGTTCATCCATCCATCCATCCATCCATCCATCCATCCATC